AGCCTGTGGTCCAGAGCTGAATGTAGCTTCTTCCCCAAAACCAAAAAAAAAAAAAAAAAAAAAAAATCACTGCCATGGAGTCAATTCCAGCTAATAGCAACCCACTTTGGGCTTCCAAGGTGGTAAATCTTTACGGAATAGATTGCCCAGTCTTCCTTCTGCAGAGTGGCTGGGGGTTTGAACCGCCAACCTTCTGCTTGGCAGTCAAATAAATGCCTTAGGCACTAGACCACCAGAGCTCCTTCTTCCGCTAGACAAAGGTGATTCCAGACAACCCCGGTCTGTCCAGCGAAACCTCAGGGGCCAGAGTTCAGGGCCCTTTGCGGTTGCCAAGGAGATGGTATGGGAGGGACCGTTGCTGATAAATCTGAAGGACAAGTCTTTCAGGAAATACTTCAAGGAAATGAATTTAAAAATCAGTCTGGAACTCCGAGAAACCCATCTCAATTTGCAGGCGAGTAGATGGAGGCCCAGAGTGTGTGTGTGGGGTCGACTAGCCCCAAATCATGCAAGAAGTCAACGACACACATAAGACTGGAACAAAGGGCTCTGGCTCCTTGTCCACAGCGCTTTTCATTACTGGAAGCCAGGACTCAATAGCTCCTCAGCCTCTAGGGCTCGGTGGAGGCAAACTCAGGTAGCCTGCAGTTAACGCGAAATCCCGCTAGCTGTCGTTTGCAGCGTGACCTAGGGCGGGAGGGCTTTAGGGATCTTGGTCGCTGCTGGAGCCAGCCTCTTGGGTGCCCTTCTCAATCTAGCGCGCTCCAACAGCTAGCCGCTAGTCCCGCGGGCCCAGAACCCACCTGTCTCGGAAGAAAGCCAGTCGGGAAAGAAACCGCAGCTCTTCGTCGGCGCCGGCAGAGACGCGCAGGCGCACGACCACTCGGGGCGGGGCCCGCGGCGGAGCCCTTGGGGTTCCCCGGCCGCTGGAGGCGCTCTCAGGTCCTCGCCACCCGCTCTGCCCCGGCCTGCCCTCCTCCCTCAGTCTGCGCTCCCCATCTCCCGCCCTCTGTACCCCGCCCCATTCCCTCGACTGCATTCTCCTCGCTCCCACTGTTTCGGTCTCCCCCAGTCTGTTTCCCCCTTTGTTACCTCTTCTCGGGACCTCCATCCATTTGCCTCCCCCCGCCGCACCCTCTCTTCACCCCGCGCCCTACCGTCACCTGCCCCCAGCGCACCTCCGCTCCTCCCACCCTCGTCCCTTCTGTCACCCTGGGTTCCCACAGCGCCTTTGTTTCCTCCATAAGACCCCACACTCTTTGTTTCCCGTCCTGCGCCCTTCCGCCTCCCATCCCATGTCTCCATACCACCAGGCTCCCTCTCCACTCTTTCTGCTTGCCTTGGCGCCCCCCTCAGGCCCTCTCGGTTCTCCACCCTTCGCCCCTCCTTCCTTCCCTCTGGGCGCTCTCTCCGCTCCCCACTGCCCACCCCCGCGCCCCTCGGCTTCCCTTGACTCCTTGAGAGGTGCCTTGACTGACTTGGAAGGAAAGGGATTCGAGTTTCAACTTAGCTAACTGAGTACTGTGCAGAGTTGGGCAAGGCTCTGCTTTTCTCTGGGCGCAGAGTGCCCAATCGGTACCAGAAGGGAATTGCGTTCAGTTGGAAACTTGTCCAACCCTAGACGGTTTGCTGAGGGAAGAGTCCTCTGCAGTCACCTAGCTGCACCCCCCCGCCCCCGCCTTTTGAGGAGGGCAAAAAGAAAGGACATATTTGATTGTTTTGTTTTGCACATGGTATCACCATCGGAAGAGCTCTTGAGAAGTAAAAAAATATAACTCTTTTCAGATGAGAAAAATTGAGAGGTTAAGGTTTTGTTTGGGGTCACATAAATGTTTCAATCTAGGGCCATTGCACTGCACAACTCCTGGAAGGCTCATCTAAAAAATTTTAAAAAATACCAGTGTTCAAAATAAAAAAATAAAAAAATGAAAGCCAACCCTCCAACTTCATTCAGTGCTGAATACTCATTGTGCATCTAGCCTGGTTCTGTGCTTATTTTGCTTATTGGGTTATCCGTCCCTGCATCCAGGCAACGACCTAGGGAACAGTGTTCCAGGCAAGTGCAAAGGTACTGGAG